TGCAGGAAGGGGTAGAGCTTCGTCCCTGTTTTTGTTCGTAAAGATCATCATTCCTTGAGCTGTATTTGAAATAATTAGAGGAATTAGCCATTCAGTTGGCGGACCCCGCGACTTATCCTGACGGGATAAGGTTGTCATTGGGGCGGCAAAATTTAAGGCATGTCTCACCCCTCGATTTTCCTTAGCCCTACCCTTTGTTGTGGGTTCTCTTTTCGTGGTGGGTGGTACTTCCACGTTAGGTTCCGGAGTTGTTGCCCTTTTTTTTTGAATGGAGAGCAACCCTGATGGGGGGGGAGGAGGAGGGGCGGGGGAGGAGAGAGAGCTTCCCCCTCCTCCCTGAACCCTCACCGCCCCTTGAGAGCCCTGACAGACTACCCGCTGAATGAAAATCATCTTGGTCAGAGTCAGAACAGTCAGAGCCTATTACTTCCTGCAGCGACTGCTTGTCTGGTTTCGAGTTCTTGAGCCGGTACAGAGTAGCCACCCCCATATCAGAGTCATCCTCTCTTTCGTCCTGTGATGAAGCATACGCATTATTTTCATATCTGGTCGTCCGGTTGTCTGAGTGTGCTCTATGACGGGGCAGTAGACCTCCTCCCTCCTCATCTGTATCTCCTTCATTGGGAGAGTCAGTGAGTGGGGACCAGTCGTACCCATCCAGTTTTTTAGCTATGCGAAGCACGATTTCATTACCTTGGACTTGAAAACCAGGGTCATGTTCTTGCTCTGACACAGCGTCATGCTCAGACCGTTTTTTCTTTTCCCTCGGTACGGGAGCATGATCTTCATCCATCAATTCCCTTATTTCCTCCCTTTTTTCCTCCCTGTCTGGCGTTTCGTCCTTTGCTTTGTCAGTTCTATCTTTTAGATCCTTCTCGGACGGGGAGGTTTCCATTACTGAGTCCTCTTTCGGCTGACTCCCCCCAGTCCTCCTTCTTGACATGCGCTTTCCCTTCTTCTCTTTCTCTTTCCCCAAATTCCCCTTGCCCTTTTTCTTTCTCCCCGACTCGACCGTTCTCTCTTGCTCCTTCCTCTCTTCGCCCTTGGCCCATTTCTCCCGGCTATCCACAGCCTCCCTCTTATCCTCCTCTTAATCCTTTTCTTTATCTCCCTTTCCCTTTCCCTGTTCCTCTACCTCTTCCTCTTTCTCCTCCTTCTCTTTCTCTTCCTTCTCCTTCTCCTCCTCTTTTTCATCCTTCGCCTTCTCCTTTGTTGGATCTTTTGACTTCTCCTCCCATTTCTTTTCTGGATCCTTCGTTTTCTCGATCCGCATTCCCTTGTCTGTTGGATCTTTGCTAGTACCTTTCTAAACCCTCGGCGCGTTGAGTGCGTCTATGTAGGATTTCTTTCCGCGAGCGGAGCATTCCTCGTCACCTTCTGAGTGGAAATGCTTCCTTCATCGAGGACACCAAGTTGTTTCTGCGGTGACCACTTCCGATTCCACATATCCGTCGCTGCCCAGATCTATAACCAAATACTTTTTATATCGGAGTCTCGCAGCAGATTCCAGGTCAAACCGTACATTCAGCAAGTCTAGACACAATTTATCTTTAAATACTGGGTATTCTTTTATTATTTCACTGTCGTAGACGTCTCGAACCACTCCTGGAAGCAATGGCAGGACGCCGATCGGGACTTGCTGAACTCTGATCCAAAAGAATCGGAACTTGGAAACTTCTCTCCATTCCCACAGTTTCTGCTCAGTCATCCAAGGTTTAAACTGAACTTTGTGCTGGATGTTGTTTAACTTCATTTCCGTTTGACCACACCGCAGCATCCAATCTGCCACAACCTTCGATGGGGCAATGTATGTGATAAGGTTCCTACCTTCATTATGGAACAGGCCCCGTTTCGCTGGGGAGATTGGGTGCTGTGCAGCCGCCCATCCGTTTCCGTACACCCTCACGAGACGTTTTTTAACGTCTATGGGGATAGTTGCGAGATCATCACCAAAGATAATCGTGACGGCGTGTTCGGTGAGCCAACCCGCTTGAATTTTATATAGGTCCTGATTCACGATAACTTAGTGGTAATCCTCTCCTTCCTCTACTATAGAGGGGGCGAGGCGTTGTGGTAAAATACCGTCCAAGTAGCATTTCGCAAAAATTTCCCGGATACGATCGACCTCATCCGGGGCCATAGAGGAAGTCGGCCCTTCGGCCGCCATCTCATTGAACAAACAAACTCTCCTAATGCTACTCAATAAGACTAAGAAACTACTTTATCCAAATCAATCCTTAAATAGGGAGCAAGTAATTAACAACTAAGCCAAGGGGTTGTGGGGCGGGGGCTGAAAATTATATCTGCATTTGACCTGTTTTCCTTGATAGCGACTCCGTCGAAGGCACGTTCTCCGTGAGAACAGACGAACGTCTCCTTTCAATGAAGGTAGATACTCCTTTCTCCTATTACGCCACGCAGCAGTGAAAACCAGTCTATATCGAGGAAAAAACTAGTGGAGGGGGCTCGTCCGGCCCTGGTATCTCTCCAGGAGCCCTCGTCGTAAGAACGTTACGGTGTAGACTAGGTTAACGCATGGTCCCTTGGAAGTTACCGAGGGTACCGAGCCAACGACGGCGATGGCTACTACTCATTGCCAGTTTCGGCATTTCTCCTTCCATTCCGGACAGAGCGCCTGCCAAAGTTAGTGCACGATTAGCGCTAATCGCCGCCCCCGCCTCCCCCCTGATTTTCCCGTGGTGCTGGCACTGCAAGCCACCTTTTGTTAACAGGAATCTCTTCTTATGACCATCAATTATCTTTTTTTTTGTTTGTTTGTTTGTTTGTTTGTTTGTTTGTTTGTTTACTCCTGTCTCATTTATTTTCAGAAAACGAACCAATCATGATGAGGCCGGGGACCTCACAATTCAACCCGGAATTATCCCGGTAGCCTCAGTCGGTTTAGCTTATAGTTCACCATAAAGTCCTTCCCTACCAGTCCTGAAGGGACGATAATCCTAAGAACTCAGACCACCAAATGCTGAAAAAGACCAAAAGAACTGAAGTCCTAATACAAATCTAAAATTCCTATTAATAACTATTTCATCTATCATAAAATCAAGAAAAGATAAAATTCAATTTATCCACAGTTTCAATCTGAGCCACGACAAACAGGAACGGAGTAGCCTGACGCCACTGACATAAGCCAGGGCTAGTTGCCACTCTAGTACTAAGTAGGAGATGGAAAGAAAAAAAAAAAAAAACTCAGTCCTAAACTTTTAGCAACCAAGGCTTCCAACACATTATCATAGCAAAATTAACCTAAGGCTTGGACCCCACAGGTTTGCAAACTGGAAAAACTTTGTCGCGGAAACTTAACCGGAACCCCACAATCATCTTCTGCAAAGTCCTTGGAAAACCGTTTTCCTTTTCCGAGAGAGCAATTCTGGAACCCCACACACCTGGAAACGATGCATGGAAAAGCTGGGTTTCGTGTTTTCACATGGTTTCCGTCGTGGAAAACCACTGCGGGAGGAAAAGTCGCCGCATTTTTTGTGCAGGGTACGGGAGCAAGGGGGTGGGTGGCCTTCAACCTTTCCAAGATCGCAGACGAAGTGTGGATCTCCCTGTGTCCGTGTGCCGTTATCGCGAGGTTCTGGTGCACGGTAGACCTCGCTTCCTTGTCGCTCAGGGTCGAGGGGCGGTGGGAAGGGTACCAGTCCCATTCGTCGAGGGGGCAAAAAAAAAAGCGGCCTTTTCGGCCGTTTTCAAATTTTTGAATTTGAAACCTCGCCCTTTACATCGTCTCTTGTCGTCGACATGCAAGCGACGTAGGCCATCCCAGGTGCGTAATGTTTTTACCTCCGAGTACAGACGGATCCTTGAGGCACGTGCGTTCGCAACATCCATATCCGAAGGTCCTCTAGTCGCCTTTCCATGCAGAGAATGGGATCCCTCGGTCGCCTACGTCGGCCTTTGTCCTCGCTCGCTACCTGTGCACATGGTTTGGGTCGTCGGCTGCTGCATGTGGTGAGGGTGTCGGATGGCGGCTCCGTGGGAAGTGATGCCTTCCATGCACGGAGATTAGCAGGCCGACGCCAGGACTACTTCGGTCGATTATGGTGCGGCCATGCTCCTGCAAGCGAAGTGATGTCCGTGTTACGCGCTGGCCATTCGCCTGCCATATCCGTTTTGTGGAGAAGCTCATCACAGGCGAACGGTGACATCGCTGCCGTCTTGCCTAGGCTTCCTCCGCGGGTGACGATCCGAACCGCGGAAGTGCGACGGTGGGAGGTGGGAGATGTGCGAGGGGCCAAAGGACAACCGATCTGCAGAATCGCTCCATAGCCCTTTCCATTTGAGCATCCTGGACGTTCTGCGTCGGACACGTCTTCACACTGCCTGCATCGCGGATCGTGCGCACGGACTGTCATCATTATTGGGGGGGGCCATAGAACTCATCCGTTGTGGAACATCGTCCGAGTGTTGGTTTGGGCATTTGTCTGTGTGTGGGTCTTGCGGTCGCTTTATTGGCAGTTGTTGCTGTGTGTGTAGCTGCAATTCTTGTCATCATCCTATCAAGACGTGCCTGACCTCGACTGCGGTGTGTGGGAGGCAGATCCCCGTGTGCGGCGACAACTATGGACGGCCGAAGTTTTACTTCACAGTTGTACAGCGAATCAGGAGTGTCGGTGGAGATGGACGTATTGAACGACGTGGACACGCATTTGGAAGGCACGAGATACCGGGCAAGTCCGTCGGCACCGGCATGGCAATACTTGGCGGTCTCTCAATTCACCGGTGACAACCAATTGCACTTCCCAGCACAACCCATGCATCCCCGAGGCCATTTTGCCATGTCGTTGATGAAGTCATCATCGGCCATTGCCCGGGGGACATACCCGCTGCAATCGCATCAACAGATTACGCAGCCGCCCACAGGTGGAACTTCTTTCCACTGTCCACAATCACTTCCTATGAGGGGGGTGTCTTCAAGGACCGAGGTGGGCGTAAGGGGGTGTAATCCTCAGCAGTCAGTGCAGCCATCAGTACACCGGGCCCAGTATATGCCGCCTTTATCGCAGCCTGTTGGCAATCTTCATGACTAAGCAAAATTTAGAAACGACTCAGAACACCCCCCATCAATCCACTATACCTCACTCCACGATCAATCTCCACATTGGAGTCGACCATGATGTTGTGGAGTATGCAGATGGCCATGAACTCTTTGCGAAGAGTTTTCATGTTCACGATCTGTCGCCTCATGAAGTTCCTCCACACCTTCTTCAACCTCCCGAACGTGCGCTCGATGCATGACCTTGCTGACGTATGACAGTCATCGTAAACTTGCTCTGTTGGCGTCTTGTTGCTCCCTCCGACGGGTGTCATCAACCATGGTAGCTGCGGGTTACCGGCGTCACCCAGGAGATACCTGCCCCCCCTCCATCCATCGCGAAGGACTTCACTCCCCGTCGCGAACACCCCCGTTCCCCCTTGCGCTTGTCTATAAACAGGGGAGACTCGGAGTACACGGCTGCCGTTAACAGATCCGGGACTTCCCACAAATGCACTCGTGATACGACACTCGTGGTCGCACACCACTTGTGCAACGATGGAAAACTGACCTGTCCGATCGTAATAACACTCTCCCCTCTCATTCCTCGGCTTCTCTATGTAAACGTGGGTGCAATCGATTGCCCCGACACAACCGGGGAATCCTTTCCGTTCGAAAGCATCAATTGTGTCTTGAAGCCTTTGATCAGTTGGGAATTGAAGAAGGTGGCCATATTCGTTGATGAGGGCGTCAGTGACATCCTCATTGCTGCGTAGGGCACTCGCAAGTCCGATACCCAGGGAATGTGCCGATTGCCTGTAGAACACTCCACTTGCCCATCGCATGAGCGCGCAAGCAAATTTCTGGGCTACCGGTACAGGTTGTCTCCAGTTCGTCTCCTGCCTCTGGATATGAGGAGCAATGCGAGCTAGCACCTCTTCGAACAACGGTCGGGAGAGTCTGCAGAATCGCTGAAACACCTTCTCGTGCCGGCCGCCAACCCGTTGGAGATCCTCCCACACACCCCCGCTGCGTTGCAAAACCCAAATTCGTCGTCTGTCATCCATACGTCGACCCACCACGGCAAACACCGTGGATGCCAAGGACATGCCGTGCATTGCAGCTCCAGCGAGCAGCAGAAGAGCATTGGACATGCCTGGCACGGACGTAGGCACCGCAGCGGTCGCTTCGATGACGACCATCGCCACAACGTTCCTATGGTTCATCCACTGCAACAGGATGTAAACCAGGAGGAACATTGAGTCATCCCAGTCGTCCATTGGCGATTCCATGTCCTCTCTGCACGTGTCAGCGTTGTCAACATCGTTGGCAGTGAGGAGGTCAGCACCCGAGCAATGGTGTGCAGCCGGTGTGAGGCGGTACAAGGCTTCCTGGAAGGGGGTGGTAAGGTTGTCATTGCCCCTACATTGGACCAGGACGATAGAAATACGTCACCCTGCTGCAAACTGGCCAACACTCACAATTCCATACCAACAGGTCGGACGGGCCAACGGTCATAACGCAAGAGGAAGGGGTCCCACGACAAGGGCCCGGTTTGCATACGAACCCGCATGTTTCGATGCCGCACGGAGGGGGCACCGTGTCGCTCAATGCCACTCACCACGTCGTGACGGACGTTGTTCCGGTTCTTCGACTACCACACGGACACTGCCCGACTTTCCTTTTTGGGTCGACCGCACGCAGCCTTTCCTGTAAAGGAAAATTTTGCGTTCACTTTGCCGCGAAATGAACACCGCTGTGGGATCCCGGAAAAAGCCTTTCCAAGCTTTCCAAAATCGTTCGGCCGTTTTCCATGGGGAAACCACTTTTCCATCCGCAAACCTGTGGGGTCCAAGCCTAAGCCAACAACCATCGCTGCTAGCAGCAGCTAGAGCTATCCTACTCCTCACAAATTTGTACCGGTTGAACCTCTACTGCGAGGTTCTAAAGTACCATTGTTGTGTCAGGTAGAGCTTGAGAACCCCAGCTCCCCCGCTTCGGACTTAAATAACCATGACGAGAACTGCAATTGCCCAGAACTTTTAATGGAAACAAGTTGAGCTCCTGTACCCCAAGTTTCCAAAAACCAGCCTCTTGACTTGCCGGATTGTCTCCCTGCTACCTCCCTTCTCCAGTCTGCTATAATTGTGTGTCTAATCTGAGTTTTCACCTTCTGAGTGATTCCAAGGAAAGATAAGTGTGCATCTCGGAAGACTTGGTGATTCCGGTCTTCCCCAATTACTCCGAAGATAATACCTCTGATTGTCTGGGCAACGTACCCCCAACCCCAGGCGGGAAATAGACCGGGCGGTAGACTCCCCGAGATAATCCACTTTTCATCCCAGTGCAGACAGTTTCTAGAGATCTGAATCCAAAACCTTTCCCACCACTTCCAGACCCTTAGAAAGAAGGGGCATGAGTACCACAGCGGGTGCACTTAGTCTGAATGTCCATTCCTTTGGAATGTAACCATATTGTCGAAGCCGTGACTAAAAGAGACTGTAGTAGCAGATGTGTTCTTTGTTTGCAATCTTCTTCAATATCTTGTTTGTCTTTGTGAGATTCTCAGGCCAAATGTCTTTGCATATCTTTCAGGACTTTTAGGGTATGATCCGACACTACATACGGAAGACGAATCCGTAAAAGAAACGAAAAAGGTGGGGCCGGTCCATTCGGGCCATAAAAGAAAACGGGGACCCCACTGGCCCGTATCGTTCGCATAATTGACGTGTGTTTCGGCGGTTTATGTTGGGCGGGTTTCGTTGGTGCATGGCAAACGGACTACTGGCACGGACACTACCGGGACCGAACGACGTCGGACAGTTGCCGTTTGTGTGGCATGGACTGCCACACAGGACCGCACTGGGCGCAGCGGTATGGGGAATTCTAACGGTTTTCCCGAACGGGCAAATCCCCCCCACGCGCCATGGACTGACACACAGGGCCGTCGGGGGCCCACCGAGTGTCGAAGGCTTGGCTGTTTTCCCAAACTGGCAAATCCCCCCACGCGCCGACTACCCTCTGAGCTGTGGCGGCGAATCGGCCACCCGCTTCGCCTCGACGTGCAAGATGACCGCCTGCTACCGCCTGGAATGGCCTTCGTCATGGTGGCACTTGGTCGCATTTCGTGACGTGCCATCGCGCAGAGGAAGCTGAAAGTCGTTGCACTTTGTGACGTGCCATCGCGCTGTCTGAATTTTTTTTTTTTAATTTTATATATATATATATATATCGTCAAATAGAACTGCTATATCGTCACAAACAGAACTGCCCGGTAAACCGTAGGCAGAGAGAGAGAAGAGGACAACAAAGGAGGGGCTGTGTATATATATATATATATATATATATATATATACATATATATATCTATATATCTATTTTATTTTTTTCAGGCCTGTGCTCCCCTCGTCGAAGGCTCTCTCTCTCTCTCTCTCTCTCTCTCTCTCTCTCTCTCTCTCTCTCTCTCTCTCTCTCTCTCTCTCTCTCTCTCTCTCT